CCATGTCACAGGACCGCCGTACATGGAGACGCGTGGCAGCAAGCAGCGAGGGAACATGACCACCACCAGAAAGCTTAGGCTCAACTACAGTGACCCACTCCCAGTCCAAAATTCTCCATGCTACTACTGAAGTCGCGCCATTCGGGGTTTGGTTTTTTCTTGGTGTGTATTTCAGTTTTTTATTCTGCACCTTTTCTTTTTTCTATAAAATTGTGTAACATAAACATTCTTTTAATATACACCTTTTCCAATACAACATTTTCTAATGTGCCATGAATATTTTTCTGTATAAGGTATAGTTTTCTAATATACTTTAAATATCTTGTTAACACTTACTGAACTTTTTTATTATATGGTGAACATTTTCAAAATGCATACTGAAGCTTTCAAAATAAACTTAATATATGTTAAACATATTTTAAATACTTACTGCACTTTTTGAGAAACGATGAACATTTTCAGAATACACACTGAACTTTTTCACGGGAGCTGCTATATATCGCCAATTGCGTGTAATAATGCTACATAGCCTGCAGTTCCTTCTTATTGCGCCGTCCTATTTCCATGGGAAATGTTTACCCTTGTATTTAAAAGGAGGAAAGTATCGTTTTCCCCCCGAAATCCTCTCTGATGGATCAATTTCCCCCTCAACTCTAATACCGGATCAATCAACCCCTCAAATCTCTAAAACCGGATCAATTCCCCCCTAAAGTGGTTTTGGACTTGATTTTGAGTGGTTTTGACCCAGATCGTGCACTTCTCTCGGTTATGGCCGTGCACTTCGCGTCTTCAGTGCGCCCAGCTCGCCTCCGTGGCCGGCATGCCGTCTTCATGGTCTCGACCAGGCTGCCGCAGAAGTACTCCCACTCCATGCCTACACGGATGCCGATGCTTCCCGAGAAGCCATCTGATGCCATGCTCCTGCTCAAGTCCGACTGCCCAGTGCGGGAACCGCTCTGTGTGCCTCGCACCGCACTGACCGGCGTCCCGCTTGGCCAGCGCAGGAGACGAACTGCATCAGCACCGTCGACGCGCTCATCCGGCCGCCCGTGATCACGCTCTGCTGCACCAGGCCCGCATTCTCTTCCTCCCGGCGAGCGGCGACGGTGTTCGAGGCGGCAACCACGCAGGCGTCGTTCTCGATGAGCGTCTCCAGCGTGTCGGGGCTGCTGGAGGATGGCGGCAACGTGATCTCGTCGTCTTCGAGCTCCGTCGTAGGCTCTTGTGGCGGAGATGGCTCTGGGCCCCGGTGCCGACGGCGTCTCTCGCCGGTCTGCGTGGCCGCGTTCGCCCCGGCACCACTGCGCGACGGCCACATGGTACTCGCTGATGTCGAAGGAGCTCCAGTTCATCCTCTTCTCGTTCCCAGCCTAGCAGCTAGAGGTGGAGGAGGACAAGGATGAGTCAGTGGAGGCGGCGCGCGGGGAGGAGGCGGAGCCCTGGAGCGCGTACTCGACGATGCTGACTGGCACCACCTGAAGCGAGACGAAACAAAGGAGAGCAGAGCGGGTACGAGGTCTGGGTCAAAACCACTCAAAATCAAGTTCAAAACCACTTTAGGGGGGAATTGATCCGGTTTTAGAGATTTGAGGGGCTGATTGATCCGGTATTAGAGTTGAGGGGGGAATTGATCCATCAGAGAGGATTTCAGGGGGAAAACGATACTTTCCTCTATTTAAAAGTGCTCAGCGTGTGTTAAAAATGATAAAGTTTATCTTAAGAACCATTTATTATGTATTTAAATATGTTCAAAGTGTATTAAAAAATTCAACATGTCTTGTAAATATTCAGAATTATTTGAACAATCTCCATCGTTTATTATTTCGTACAATGTTTGTCATGTATTAATGTTCCACATTTTAAAAATAGTCTTCACGTATTTAGAAAATGCTCAAAATGTATTTATTAAATGTTTAAAGTGTATTTTATAAAAATTCAAAAGTATATTTTAGAAGGTATGCATATAAAATGCACAAAAATATTTTCAAAAGAAACATAAAAAGGGGGAAAACAAAAACCACAACAAAAAAAAAGAAAAACACATGAAAAGAAAAAAAAATGAAAAGAGAATAACATGAAATAGAGAAAGAAATAGAAAAGTAAAAATTAGAATGAAACAGGAAAAGAAAGAATAAGTAAATAAAAAAGAAAACAAACAGTGAGAAAAACCCAGAAAATGAGTAGTTGATTTAGGTCAATCAATGCGAGCGACACATAGCAGCCTACACAAGTCTTTGGTCCGGCTAGGATACATACCGCCATAATTGAAAGAAAAACTAATATATTGGTCCGATCAACCTCGTGATGCATGTAGGCGAGCGTGACATTGTGTTCACAGTAAGCGAGATATATATTTTTGTGCCAAATTCTAGGAGGTAGTGACCACTAATTAGCTTAAAATCAGTCTAGAGGCCTCGAAATAGCCTCACTACTGTGATCTTCACTTTTATGGTAGAATAATTTATCATATAAAATGACCACTAATTACAACTCAAGCTCTAGGTTTCGCGTTGAGCTTCTCATCCAAGGGAATATGGATATGTGAGATGTAAGTCCAACATGAAACAATTGATCGTATTTTACATACTTGATTCCTGGGATCTTAAGCATGGAAGGATACAAGGATACACTTAATGTTCACGCTAGTCTAAATAAAAATAATGATGTGCATCTTAATGATGTAGAGCTGGGGGTTTGAACATCCATCTCTAAAATACCTCAAGACCCTGCCCAAAGAGTCGTACAGAAACAGGAACAAGCAAAATAAAAGATCAATCTTGCCCCTTTTCTTAGCGAGATTGAATGCATTGAACAACATAAGAAGCAGCTGGAAGTTCTTGCCTCCAGAAGGGAAGTAAAAAAATAGTATATTTTAGATTTGCAAATATTTCTTAGTTCCTAAATTTGCATATATTTAAACTCGGAGCATTGATCCATGTATATAAAGATGGAACAATTTTTACTATTAATAGTTAAGGTTAGCATTGAGAATATTATTTTAAATTTGCGATTTTTACGGACTTTCACTCTTCTTAAGTATAGCCAAAGTAAACACGCATATTAAACGCACTAGAAGTAATTATGTTGATGAGTTCAAACGAAAGACGATGGTGGTGAATGGATCCAAATTTGTTGAACATGGGTTTAGTATGAGAAACATTCTACTATGTGGCTTGATCTTGCAGTCCAAAGAATTCCAAACACTACCATGAACCCCAAACCTCAAATGCCAATACCGCAGGACATGTAATTTTATAACTATCAAATATAAATGTGCCCAGGAAATCACACTGGAGGCAGAAGTGAACAAAGTTGTCAGGGTTGCGATTGGTCGAATTGGACAAGGATGCTTCACGCTGCACTCATAGAGTCATAGTACACAAATTTAACAACAAACAAAAGTAACTAAATGTGGCATTGCAAATTTAACAACAAACAAAAGTAACTAAATGTGGCATTGCTAGTCCTAGAAACAACATTCCGTAAATTTATGCAAAGAGACCCAATATTTAGAGCATGCATCGTATTTTCCATAGGGTCTCCCAAATCTCACTTCTGGTTGTTTTCACAATTTTTAGCAACAAAACTTGTTGTACGACAGCACATAAATCGTATCTAGTTTAAAAAAAACTCTCCAAAAAACATGCAAATGATTCGGAATATGAGAATTTTGTTTTTACTCCCTCCATTTCTAAATATAAGACCTCTTAGAAATTTTAATATGGACTACATACGTAGAAAAATGAGTGATCTACACTCTAAAGTATGTCTATACATATCCGTATGTAGTCCATATTGAAATCTCTAAAAGAGTTTATATTTAGAAACGGACGGAGTATAAAAAAAAACATGGCGGTGACAGGAGCTAGTACACAGAGAAGGTTCATTACCTTTACATTTATAATAAGGACTAATGTGTATAATACTTTAAATCAAAGGAGTACATGAATTTGAACAAACAAATTACAGTGTACACTTTAAAAAAAATAAAAAATTATACCCTCAAAACCGAAAATCTCCCCTCCGATGTGGGACCCAGATGTTATCCTTCATCTCACCTTCCCTCTTCCCCTACGCCGCCGGCCCCACAGCCTTCGACACGCCGCCGCATCTGCGAGCTCCCCGCCACCGCCACCGACTATGCAAACTGAGCAGCATCATGTTGATGCTGGCCGCCTTGCCGGACCTGACCCCTCTGAATCTGCTCCGGGAAGGGAGGTTCCACGACCAGGAGCAGGTAGCACTGCGAGTACGTGGCTTCCTGCAATTCAGTTAAGTCGCATTCTTTTAATAATGTCATTCAACTGGTAATCACAGGCTGCGGTCACTCAACGTTCCCGCAATAAATCGGTTCCTCTGCTCTGATTGTATGGTTCAGCATCCTGTGCAAGGAAGGATTGTAACTTTTGTCTGAGTGAGGACGTTCCTGCAGTGCCAGGCTCTATTCAGATCTCAGAAATGGTGGTCTTCATTCAGTTTTGAAAAAGGTCAGTGATACATTGTGTGGTCTTCGCGCTTCCTTGGGGGAATCAGCTATCCCGCTCCACAATCTGTGCTAGCATGGCCTACACGGCAACGTCGGCAAGCCTGGCAATCACTTTCTTTAGAATAATCAACGGCAGCAGGGGAACAACTGCGATTACACGGCTTACTCAAATTCAGTCAAGTCGCAATCTCTTAATAATCCGATTCAGGTAATCACAGCTTGCGGAATCTGGCGTTGTAAGGGAATGGCGCAGCAAGACAAGGCCCTTTGCAAGCGGGTCGCACCACGCGTTTTGCAAGTTTTAGTGGTTCCATGGCACCGCGCGTTGTGTGGAGCAGAGTGTGATAAGGTCTTGCACGCTGTCCTTGCGGGAATCAGCTCCACAATCTGGCCGAGCATCCTGGGCTACACGGCAAGCCTCGCAATCACTTTCTTTTGAACTATCAACTGCATCAGCGGACTATATGTAATGTGTGTGCCCCGGAGCTTCATTTATCAACTAGAGCAGCACAACATGAGCCTTCTCCTTGCCTTGGAGCTGCTGCTGCTCCTGCTTGCCTTGCCACGCCTTTCTTGTAGGAGCACCTCAAATTCAACGCAACCGTCACTAGATCGTCAAGCAGAGGCACTTCTCCGATGGAAAGCTGGCCTATACATAAGAGGGACCTATGATCTGGACTCATGGACAAAGGGAACCAGCCCCTGTGACTACTGGACCGGTGTTACCTGCAGCAACGCCGTGCTGCCTCGTGGCGGTGACCAGGGTGATGCCGCCTTAGTTGTGTCCAACATTTCGCTTGCGGAGTTTGGCCTTGAAGGCAGGTTGGATAGGCTCTATTTTGCTGACTTGCCCCATCTTGTCCATGTGGACCTCAGTTACAACTATCTCTTGGGCCCAATCCCATCAAGCATTGGTGTTCTTACCAATCTCGTATACTTGGATCTATCCAACAATAGACTGAACGGATTTATCCCAACATCCATTGGTAATTGTACTAAGCTAACCTCCATCGATCTCTTTTACTACAATTTGTTTCTACCATGCCTAGTATGGTAGGAAGACTAGGGAATTTGATGATCCTCTCCACTTTGCAGATTTGCCCCATCTTGTCTTTTTGAACCTTGGTTACAACCACCTCTCAGGCGGAATCCCATCAAGCATTGGTGCTCTTGCCAAGCTCGAAAACTTGTATCTATCTAGCAATGACCTGAACGGATCTATCCCAACATCCCTAGGTAATTTTACTAAACTAACCTCCATCGATCTCTTTTAGTACAACTTGTTTCTACCATGCCTAGTAAAGTAGGAGGACTAGGGAATTTTATGAGCCTCTCCACTTTGCAGATTT